CATAAACCAGAGCAGTGAAAGGCAGATTGTCTAAATATACCAGTGGCTCTGTGTATTTCTGGTGCAGCCTCTAATGACAACAAGAGCCAGTACCTTGGCCACGTTTTTCTGAAAGATGAAAATCCCCATCCTGAGCCGCCTTCCCCTTGAGTTGCACGGCTGCCCAACGAGTTACATCAGCTCACTGCTCTGACTGACACTTAATCAAAAGGAAATAATTTTGCGAGTTCTGCATCAGGTGATCTTGTACTGGACTAATGGGACTAAATCCGGCTGGAGGCCGGTCACCAGTGGGGCTCCCAGGGCTCAGTACTGGGTCTGGTTCTGTTTAACATCTTTATCAATGACCTGGATGAGGGGATTGAATGTACCCTCAGTAAGTTTGCGGACGACACCAAGCCGGGAGGCTGTGTCGATCTGCTCGAGGGTAGGGAGGCCCTTCAGAGGGATTTGAACAGACTGGATCGTTGGGCTGAGGCCAATGGCATGAGCTTTAATAAGGCCAAGTGCAGAGTCCTTCACTTGGGGTGTAAAAACCCCAAGCATCGCTATAGGCTTGGGGAAGAGTGGCTGGAGAGCTGCCTGGCGGAGAAGGACCTGGGGGTGTTGGTTGACTACCTCCTTGATATGAGCCAGCAGTGTGCCCAGGTGGCCAAAAAGGCCAATGGGATACTGGCGTGTATCAAGAATAGTGTAACCAGCAGGAGCAGTGAAGTGATCTTGCCCCTGTACTCGGCACTGGTGAGGCCGCACCTGGAATATTGTGTCCAGTTTTGGGCCCCTCGCTTTAAGAGAGATATTGAGCTCCTGAGCGAGTCCAAAGAAGGGCGACTAAACTGGTCAAGGGGCTGGAAAATAAAACTTATGAGGAGCGGCTGAGGGAGTTGGGGCTGTTTAGCCTGGAGAAGAGGAGGCTGAGGGGAGACCTGATTACGGCCTACAAATACTTGAGAAGGGATGGTGGGGAGGTAGGGGAAGGGCTCTTTACATTAGTGTTGGGTAATAGAACAAGAGGAAATGGGTATAAGCTTAGTCAGGGGAGGTACAGGTTGAATGCCAGAAAGTATTTCTCTGAAAGGGTTGTCAGCCACTGGAATAGGCTGCCCAGGGAGGTGGTTGAGTCCCCATCCCTGAATGTGTTTAAGAAAAGGGTGGATGAACTACTTAGGGATATGGATTAATGGGGATTAGGGACGGTTGGACTGGATGATCTCTAAGGTCTTTTCCAACCTAGAAATCTATGAAATCTATGAAATCTACTACAGTTTAAAATATATAATGAAGAATATGATTCTAATGATTACAATAGAATGTGTACACAATACCCAAAACACAGGTAAGGTTTCTAATTGGCTCATTAACTCACTGTAAACCTTTCCTTCTTTATTTCCTTCCCTTGCCAATTTAGATATAAAGTATGCCCATGTTATTTAAGACTTGAAATTCCATAAGATCTAAAGTTGACATTTTCCAAAAATCAGTAAAAAGTAAATTTTAATACACTTTTGATCCTTTTTTCTTCATATTTTTTAATCTGAAATTTTCATTTCAAGTTCTATTTTGGAATAGAATTTAACATTCCATTTTAGACCACCTCTTTTTGTTGGAGGGAACTTCAGAAGTGGAAAGTATGTTTATGTCGTGGTTTAGCCCAGCCGGCAGCCAAGACACCACGAGGCCGCTCGCTCACTCCTCCCCCTCGGTGAGGTGGAGCAGAGAAAAATGTAACAAAGGACTGAGGGTAGAGATAAGAACAGGGAGGGATCACCCACCAACTATGGTCCAGGGCAAAACAGACTCTGTTTGGGGAAAAATCAATTTAATTAGTTAACAGCTCGTTCAGAGAGGATAACAAGAAACAAAGCCAGATCTCAAAAACACCTTCCCCCCACCCCTCCATTCTTCCTGGCTCTACCTCCTCCCCCAGTGGCACAGGGGGACTGGGAATGGGGGGGTTGCAGGTCAGTTTGTCACGTGTTGTTTCTGCTGCTACTTTCTTAAAGGAGGAGGACTCCTTACACTCTTTTTCCCTGCTCCAATGGATCCCCTCCTCACGGGACAGTTCACAGACTTCTCCAATGTGAGTCCTTCCCGCAGGTTGCAATCCTTACACCTTGGATTGCTCTGGCATGGGCTTCTTCCCCACAGAGTTACAGCTTCTTAGGGAGCTGCCACCTGCTCTGGCATGGGGTTCTCCATGGGCTTCAGATGCCTCTCTTCCTCGTTGTCAGCCTCCAGCAGCTCATGGAGACCATTCTCTACGATCTCCTTTTGGTACAGGCATCTCTGCTCCAGCATGGGGTTCTCCACAGACTGCAAGTGGGTCTCTGCTCCACCATTAATCTCATGGGTGGCAGGGGGGCTGCTGCCATCTCACCACGGGCTGCAGGGGAATCTCAGCTCCGGCACCTCCTCCAACTCCATCTTCACTGACCTGGTGTCTGCATGGCCATTTCTCTCGGATCTCAGCCCTCTCTCCGCTGTACCCACCCCAGGCACAGCGAACCTCAGCAGTCCCGGCACAACAAACTCTGCCCAGCGGGTGCCCCAGGAGCAGTGCGCTCCGGAGCTCTCCAAGCCATGCTGCTGCAGCCATCTCCAGTCGGGCAGCGGCAGCCCAGTGCCCAGGAGGGAGGCTGGCCCCCAGACTTCCCCCTCTCTTCAGTGTAGGTCCAGCCCCTGTTTGGGTTCCTTTGTCTCCATCTTAAATAGGGCATTCGCAGAGGTGCTGATTGTGTCAGCCCCGGCCTGAGGGGATGGGATCTCAAACGGGGCCAGAGACAGTCCAACCAGTTTTGGAGCTGGGGAAAGATTTTCACAGCTGCTTACAGACACCGCTTTCACAGCCCCTCCCGTGCTGCCAAAACCCCATCATGTAAACTGAGTTCAATTTATCTGGAGCCTTACTTAAAAACAAAAATGTTACATGGCATTCTAGGATCATTGCCAAGACTGTCATTGATTTGACCTCTGTCTTCCTGGGGTAAAGGTGGCAGAGCTAAATGAGGCTGTAGAGCAAGCTGGTATCATTTCAGAAACACAGAAAGTTTGTAAGAGACCAGAAAAAACAGGTTCCCAAGTCTGTAGATTAAAATGTTTCACTGAGCTGTTCATAAAGGGCAAAAAGAAATCATGGGTTGACCATATTTTCCATATGGTGACACGTAAGTACTTTAATATGAGAAGGGTTGGGTTTTTTTTTTCCCGATACTGTATTTATGATCCACAGCATGAGATCTTCAAATTCCAAAACACACTGTACATTTAACAGATAAGTACCTCCTTCAAAGAATTATTTAATAGGACATTTGGTACCATGTTGTACCAATTGTTTACTGACATCCAGACAGATTTAATCAACTATGTCTTTTGTCTAGAAAAATCAGTTAGCAAAACAATATATCAGATTAATCTGGCATCAGCTCTTTCATTATCCAGGATTCCATTTTCTTCCATTAACCTCTTCTGTTCTCTATCGTTATTCTTACCTTCCACTCATCTTTTAATAAATGATCCTTGAAAATTCTGCTTGAAAATTTCTGCCTTATTAAAACCAGACTAAGGACCAGGTACTTATCCAAATTAAATTTTTCTCTTTCTTAAGAGAAATTCTTAGGTTTCTTACAATTCTAGCATTTCAATACCCCAGTCATAATACACCAGACAATCAGATATTTCATTAAAAAGCTGAACTACCAGCCCTGCAGTTTCACATACAGGTTTTCCAGTATTTCCTTTTGTGTTCTTTTCAGTATATTTTAACAATGGCTTCTACAGATGCTATTAGTCAACACTCAAATGTATCTCAAGATCAATTTTTCAGATGAAGAGAGTTGTTTTCCTGTTGCTATTTTTTGTATTTATAGATCATAAATTGTCTCTCTACTTCAGTGTTAAGGTAGCTCATCTCAGACAGAAGTTTAAATATTGAGTATTTTTTCCTGTGCAGCTAGTTATGGGTTAGGGGGAAGAACGAGTGTCAGTTTAACAGAATTTAAGGAGCAGTGTAGTGCTCTGGAGCAAGATGGAAACAGAAGTTAACCACTGTAAATGCTTTATGTGTTGCACTGTATTACGTTAGGAGACTCTTATTAACAATGTTGATATTACCTCTTTGTAGAAAAAGTTAATAAAAATAAGGAAGACTGCAAAATTCCATAAAATATGTCATCTGAGTGTAGATTTTTAATTTTCCCTTCTTCCAGTATTCATAGAATCATAGAATCATAGAATGGTTAGGGTTGGAAGGGACCTCAAAGATCATCTAGTTCCAACCCCCCTGCCATGGGCAGGGAAACCCTCCACTACACCAGGCCGCCCAAAGCCTCATCCAACCTGGCCTTGAACACTTCTAGGAATGGGGCAGCCACAACTTCTCTGGGCAACCTGTTCCAGTGCCTCACCACCGTCTGAGTGAAAAATTTCTATCTGTCTGTAGAGGGCCTCATCCACCCGGTCCTCCTGATCAGGTGGTCTGTAGCAGACCCCTACTACTATGTCCCCTGTCCCTGCTCTCCCTTTAATCCTAACACATAAACTCTCAGTCGGGACCTCATCCATCCCCAGGTGCAGCTCCATGCACTCCAACTGGTCTTTGACATAGAGGGCAACTCCTCCTCCTCTTCTCCCCTGCTTATCCTTCCTAAAGAGCTTTTATTTCTATATGTATTCTTATGTGTGGTCATGGTGTCCTTGTTACGATCACGTAATTACCTTCATGCAGATTTTGCTAAGAGACTTGAAAGAGGCTTCTTCATCCTTGTGTAAGGAAGTCTCCCAATCTACATAGTGTGGCCATTGTCCAGCATGACTAGTCACACGAAAGAGGCTGAAATTCGTGGTGTAAGATTATTTGTGATATCATCAATATTTGTGGACATAGAAGAGATCAATCAGGCTTCATTTAAATACAGGTATCATTTTGCATCTCTGGGATGCTTCAGACTCCCATGTACAGTACTCCTTATTTCTCTACATTTTGTGAACTTCTGCTTTCATAGGATGGAGTTTCAGCATGGGTTCTGCCTACCAGTTCCACAGCTGGCGAGTATTTGTGATCGTCTGTGCCCTGCCCTGTGTCTCTTCAGTGGTGGCCCTCACCTTCATGCCAGAAAGCCCACGATTCTTGCTGGAGGTATAACTTTCCGAACAGTTTTTATATTCTGGTTAAAATTATTTCTGTGTTTACATTATGACCTCTATACAACAGGCACTATGATTGTTTAGTGACTATTCTGAGTATCTTTATCTGTATGCATGTTTTGTTTAAATGTTTTGTTCAAACATTTAGGTTGGAAAACATGACGAAGCTTGGATGATACTCAAGCAAATTCATGACACAAACATGCGAGCTCGGGGTCAGCCTGAGAAAGTCTTCACAGTGAGTATTGCTTTTAAAGCTAATCGCTTAGCATATCAGTGAGCTTGCTGACTGGCAAGGTCTGGAGGGCTTAAGCAATCAATATTAATGCTCTGCATGATAAAGCCAATCATTTGTACTCTAAATACCTAAATACAAGAATTGAATTCCTACTGAAATTGTAATAGGTATACCATATGTTAAAATATGTTAATATTTTAATACCTTTAGTAAGCATATAGGTAGCCTGGGAGGAATATAGAGTAATTGTCAGAGGAACCAGGGATCAGGTTGGGAAAGCTAAAGCCCTGATAGAGTTAAATCTGACCAGAGACATCAAGGGCAACAAGAAAAGCTTCTGTAGGTATGCCAGTGGTAAAAGGAGGACTAGGGAAAATATTGGCCCTCTCAAGAATGACAGGAGACCTGGCTACCCAGGATATGGAGAAGGCTGAGATACTCAATGACTTCTTTGCCTCGGTCTTCACTGATAAGTGCTCTAGCTGCACTGCCCAAGTCGCAGAAGGTAAAGTCAGGGAGTGGCAGAATGAAGAACCGCCCACCGTAGGAGATCAGATTCAACACCATCTAAGGAACCTGAACGTGCACAAGTCCATGAAAACTGATGAGAACCATCCACGAGTCCTGAGGGAACTGGCAGATGAAGTTGCTAAACCATTATCCATCATATTTTAGAAGTTGTGGCAGTCCAGTGAAGTTCCCATCAACTGGAAAAGGGGAAACAACGGCCCTCATTTTTAAAAAGGTAAAAAAGGAAGACCCAGAGAACTACAAGCCAGTCAGTCTCACCTCTGTGCCTGGCAAGATCATGGAGCAGATGCTCCTGGAAACCATGCTAAGGCACATGGCAAAAAAAGGAGGTGATTGGTGACAGCCAACATGGCTTCACTAAGGGCAAATCCTGTCTGTCATATTTGGTGGCCTTCTACAATGGGGTTACAACATTGACTGATAAGAGAAAAGCAACTGGCATCATCTGCCTGGACTTGTGCAAAACATTTGACACTGTTCCGCACATGTCCTTGTCTCTAAATTGAAGAGACATGGATTTGACAGCTGGACCACTTGATTGATAAGGAATTGGCTGGATGGTCCCCCTTGAAGAGTTGTAGTCAACAGCTCGGTATCCAAGTAGAGACCAGGGACAAGTGGCGCTCCTCAGGGATCGGTACTGGGGCCAGTGCTGTTTAACATCTTTGTCACTGATATGGACAATGGGATTGAGTGCACCCTCAGCAAATTTGCTGATGACATCAAGCTGTGTGGTGTTGTGGACACAATGGAGGGAAGGGATGCCATCCAGAGGGACCTTGACAGGCTTGAGAGGTGGGCATGTGAGAACCTCATGAAGTTCAATAAAACCAAGTGCAAGGTCCTGCACATGTGTCAGGGCAATCCCAAGCACAAATCCAGGCTAGACAGAAAATGGATTGAGGGCAGCCATGAGGAGTAGAACTTGGAGGTGTTGATGAGAAGCTCAACATGAGCCGGCAATGTGCACTGGCAGCCCAGAAAGCTAGCTGTATCCTGTGCTTCATCCAAAGAAGCACAGCCATCAGGTCAAGGGAGGTGATTCTGCCCCTTTACTCTGCCCTTTTAAGACCTCACCTGGAGTGCTGCATTCAGCTCTGGTGTCCTCAACGTAAGAAAGACAAGGATCTGTTGAAGTGAGTCCAGAGGAGGGCCATGAAGATGATCCAAGGGCTGGAGCATCTCTCCCATGAAGACAGACAGTGAGAGTTGGGGTAGTTCAGTCTGGAGAAGACAACGCTGCAGGGAGATCTTATAGCAGCCTTCCAGTACCTAAAGGGGCCTATAAGAAAGCTGGAGAGGGACTTTTGACACAGATGTGTATTGATAGGACAAGTGGCAATGGCTTTAAACTGAAAGAGGGGAGATTTCTATTAGATATAATATATTAGATATTAGTGATGAAGCATTGGAATGGGTTGCCCAGAGAAGTTGTGGATGTCTCATCCCTGGAGGTGTTCAAGGTCAGGTTGAATGAGGTTTTTAGCAACCTGATCTAGTGAAAGGTGTCCCTGCCCATGGCAGGGGGGTTGAAACTAGATGATCTTTAACATCCCTTCCAACCCAAACCATTCTGTGATTCTATGATTCTATATTCTTGAGTGTATGAAACCACAGTATGATTTTCTCCAATGTACGAAGATACTTAATAGACTTCATCTGTGTTTTATTTATTGAGATTACTTCACCTTTAATAATAATAGTAGACGCATAGAAGTGCAAATTAGATGGCTGTTGAGTTTTTGAAGCTTTTGAAATTATTTTTTTATTTTTATCAGCTAATATGAGTTTTAAGAATTCCTTTGAAGCTTTTGAAATTATTTTTTTATCAGCTAATATGAGTTTTAAGAATTCATTATCACTTCTATGAAATAGTAATTTCAGACATTTAATTTTCTCACAATATCTCAGAAGCTCAACTGCATCTTGTTGACTTGCAGGTCTAATGATAAGGCCATATTCACAGTATTGATGAGTTGTTTCTATTTGGAGGAGAGATTGGCAGTTCACATGTGGGACTTTTTTATGGCATCTTCTTTATCTATGAAGTACATACAGAACAATTTTGTCTTCCTGGATACAGTAGGACCAAATAGCAGAAGGCGTTTTCTTTCTTTGAAATCCAGTCTGCCTTTCTAGCTTGTGCTGTGCCATGGGAGTTCTGGCACTCTGCTCCCTCTCAGAGCCATGTGTGGGCTGTTTTTCCTCTTCCAGAGGCTTTCTTCATACTTTAATGCACATATAACTCAATTAAGAAATCCTCTTAAGGGTTCTACATTTGCAGGCAGTCTCGAGGAATGACCATCTGACCATATAACTTTATTCCATTGAGACTCGCAGTTTATTGCCTTGGATGTAGTTTCTGTTGCCTCCATCTAATGTTTTCCACAAAGAAGCTCGGGAACTCCTATATTTAGCCTGAAAGAAGGCTGGTTAACACATCCATCATGCTAAATCAACAATAATTGATACACCGGTGACCTACCCCTAATCCCATCTAACCTAATATCTTATTTTCTGATTTCATTTATGAGTAAAGGGATTTACCTAATACCATACAGCTAGGGTGTAATTTCACAATTGGCTTTTGCTGATTTGAGCTGCTTTCAGACAGAGTATGCCTGCCCTCGGTCACTCTTTGTTTTTCTTCTGGCAGTGTTGATATTCATTGACTGATTGCACAGTCAGCCATAGCTGAGACCCTGTTCCCCTGTGGTGTTGGTTTAGGCACAAGGAAGAAGACAGAAATGTGCTGGGACAAAAGGTGGCAGGAGGGATCAGCCACAGTCTCACAGCAGTTCGACGTAATCATAGTCACGTCCAAAAGCAGCCATGGAGAAGAAAACAAAGCACATGCTTTTTGTTTCCAGTCCTTGTGATCTAGCAAGTCTTTCTCTCTATGGTTATTAAAATCTGACACTGAACCGTATTGAACTCAACACTTATATTTACAGCTATTTTTGTTAATTGGTCAGACATGAATAAACCATGAATAAGGAAAAGCCACCACTTTCTTGGGATTTTTGCCAGTTTCTACCATGAACATTGGGATAACTCAACTCTGGATATCAAGAAGTTGAAGGATTAGAAATAGTGTACTGTATGTCCAGGTTAGACATGTATATAAGACCCTATTTTAAGCTCGCATTAATATGATTAGAAAACGTATCATTGTCTTCTTATTGGACAGTATCAGCACTTCGTATTATAAAACCTAGAAAGCAAAGAACTTGTGCATAATTTGTTTGGGACATCCTTTTAGCCTCTATTTTCTTTTAATACACGTTAATCCTGGATATTGTGACACTTTGTCTCAGTAATTTATTCACATAACTCTCCTAAATCCCATTGCTTCATCCAGTACCATTCTATGATTTATGCGTTACTATTTTCCTCTACTTCATGTCACTAGTTACATCAGATACACTCTGATAGTATGTTTTCTAACTCTACAGCTGATGTAACTTTTTCTCCATTACTGCTGTAGTTTTAGTGTGCTTTCCTTTTATATGTTTCCCTAATTATATTGATGTCATCTTTTCCTAGAGGCTTTTTTCACAAGTCATGTTTGTTCTTGTTACTCATATTATTGAGGATTTTATCTTCAAACCTTTAGAACAGAGAAGGCATCAACTGATGAACAGTTGATTTTAGAATTAGAAACTCTTAAATGGATGTATTCTATTTACTGACTGTGGAGGTGGTGTCTTTTAATACTGTTGAAAATCTCTCCTGAGAGCAGTGACACTAACAGAGATGGTAGTCAAGTTAATAGTATCTTCTGTTATGGGACTACCCAAGTTAAACGTTTATATACATGCTTAATTACCTTCCTGGGCCCTTAAAATATACATTCATTAGATCTGTTGTTTTAAGTGTTTAAGTAGAAAAAAAAAAATTTGTATCCTTAAAACCAAAATTCTTTCCACTCCTTCGTTGCCATGTATTAATTAATCATTTTTTCTGCAAACACTTTCTTTTGCAGCATGACTTGATTTCTTAAAATTTAAAACATTGCATATTTCTAGCCATTATCTTTAAACAGAAGTTCCATTTTCATTAAAATAGGTATTCTTTATTGTTTTTTCTCTCATTCTTCTACTGACAGCTGAATTTGCATGGTCCAGATTGACTATTGTCCTGATTCAATAGGACTTTTCTTATGTTAAAGAACCATCAAGGCCAGAGGCTTTTTGTCTCCATCACAAAAAATGGTAGGATGTATACGTGTTTCTCCCGACCTTCACAGCTCCAAACCAAGTCAGGTGGCCGGGCTGGTGAAAAAGCTGCCTTTGAGCCTACAAGATTGGTACTGGTCTATACAGTGTTATTCAAAAGGCATTCCTTCTGCCCGAAGGTGTGGCATTTGAGAGTGCCTGTATGTACAAGGTCTTTAATAATCTTGGAGGACTCAACTCCGTCTTTTGTATAACATATATCATAAAAGCAGTTTAAGAGAAGCTTAAAATCAATGGAATGATGCAGACAGGATTATTGGTATTGGAAAAGGCATGGCAAGAAGGGTAACAGCTTTTGATATACTCCTGGTTTGGCAAGACAGTGAGCTACTCTATTTCAGAAATGAGGGTAGTTATAGCTAAAGCCGCTTAGTGGTTTTTTATTTGTTATTGTTCATGGGATGAGGCTGCTGGTACATCTTAAACAGCATACGTCTGTAAAAGCAGTGGGCTGAAAAGTAGAGCTTTATGATCAATACTGCTATTCCCTGATGTCCAGTAATCCACTGTGACACATCTGTGGGTGGTGATGTCCTTATTCTGTTATGAAGAAACATAAGCTGTTGCTACCTTCAGAAACTGCAGCCAAACATTGAACACTCAAGTCTCCTGCTCTTTCCCATCTTTTTCCCTATTTTCTTTATTTTCTTTCCATTCTCTATTTGCCTTCTTTTTAAACAAACTGTGGATGAATACACTGCCTTTTGCGATATCGCTATGAACCTGGGACCAGAGCAGAAGCCAAAACCAAAACCATGCAATGTCGTAAGTTTGCCAGGTTCTGTGTCTGGAAAGACAATATAACACACTATTGTTCTGCTGCACAGGAAAGTGCAACTGAAAAATTAGCATTGTAGACAATATCGCGTTCTCTGTCACTGGTAATTCTGTATTTTCCCTGATGTCTGTTTATCTCATTTCACTTTAGATGAAGTAGATGATTGCTTATAACAGCAGTAACATGTGTGGTTCCAGATCATTACATATAACTTCTCTCTCTTCATTAAAAAGGATAGATAAAGTCAACATCCAAAAGACAAAGAGATTTCCTTGTCTAGCACTACGGGAAATAAGAACTAAAGAAAAATTTTATTCAACTATTAATTCTTGACATTTCAAATGCTTCTATTTTCATTGCTGTATCTTTAATCAATAGACTTCTTTCAGTAATGTTGTGATAGCAAGTCAGAAACAACTTAATAGCAAACTTTGGACACATGGTTAACTGAGGCTTTAAGTAATGTTTTATCCCTTGTAGCATTAGGGGTACGTACAGCAACGCTCTAGCAGAACCTGACAGTCACAGCTTGTTTCAGTCAGAGGAAATTGATTTCTTGCATGCTTTCAAAGCAGAGCTCTTCCAGTACAGTTGTATGTACAACAAACTTCGGCATTATAATGTGCTACTATTCCTTTATATTTCTAAAGCATTTCCAGTGTAGACTCAGGTTTAATATCTGCTCATTTTTAGTTTATGAGATTTATTCAAACCTTCTAATATTTCTCAACAGGCAGTTAATGATTCAAGAAAATGCAAATATTTGCCCTTCTGTTTTTATTTCTAGGTTAACAGAATCAAAACTCCAAAGCAGATTGACGAGCTCATAGAAATAGAGAGTGATACAGGAACTTGGTACAGGAGGTGTTTTGTTAGAATTCGCACAGAGCTATATAGTGTAAGTAACAATATCTCTGTTTGTTCTGTAATTACCTTTCTTCTTTTTTATTAGTCTTCAGAAATGAGATGAGATGGATTGATTGAGCTCATGCTGGTGATAGCTGCAATGCTACATTTTCTACGTAACTGGGAGATTCAGGAACCAGTGTGAGGTTCTAGTTTCCTGACTCAGAAGAGGTATAGGTGAATCACAAAGGTTGGTCCTAGCTTCTGAGGAGGAAAATGCTGCACTGGTCTTCACACAAGTGATGGCTAATAGTTACTCAGCCACATTCACAAGCTCCACCATAGAGTATGTACCAGGAATGCACATCAATGTACACCTATGGAAAGAGGTGACACATGATAAGATGAAAAATTATCAGC